CAAGATTGACTTCCTCCAAGACATCCCCAAGGAGAAGCCGCATGGATCTATCCCGATGCAGCCCTGGGTGCTGGAGCAGCCGTGTGGAGACCCTTGCCAGTGCTGAGATGCTTACATGTGCACGGACTCAGCTTTCCTCCTGCAGTCGGCATCATTGCCTCTTTTGTGAGGTGGAGGACTTTGTGGACTGGTGTTGGGTTAATGGGTTAATGTCGGACTTGTGGGCTTGGGCAGCATTGGGTTAGGATGTTTTCATGATGCAGTTTCTTTACATAAAACTCTCTTATACATGAGTCGCTGTGGATTTGTTTCTCTAAAGTACCTAGACTAATACAGGGTGGAATGACTCTCAGGAGGCAAAATGGGTTCCAGAGACACCAAGTACATGGTCAGGACATGTATTGCCAGTCACTGACTGTCAAGATCTGTACTTTTTTTGTTTGTTTTTTTTTTACCACAGACAGCTTACTTGTGCAAGAACCAGTGGCTGTGCTCAAGGCCAACAGAGTGTGGGGAGCATTACGAGGTACGTGCTTCGTGCTTTTGTCCTTACTTTTTAGTCAGAGATTTCTGGAATCAGCCGTAGTCAAACGCTGCTCTCGTGGACTCTGTAGGCAGAGACGGATTTGTCCAGCAGTAACAATACTTATATTGCCATGTTGCTACAGTTAATCTCTACACTAGAGACTGCCCTATAGCGTGCTCTGCATGGCCTGTTCGATGAGGGAGGCTTCTGTCTGCTGTCATTGCTCGTGGTCTTCACGAGCAAGGCTCTCTTCCCGTGTGTGAATTCCCATGGACTCAGACACCTTCCAAGAACCACGTGAACATGTAAAGACGCCCAGCGTTTGTTGGGGGCAGTGGGAGAGAAGAACCTGGGAAGCCTTTCCTGTGAATCTCTAGGTCTGACCATCACTTTGGGCACCCGGATATTTCTTTTTGCTGCTCAACAGTATGCTGTGCCTCTTCTAGAAAGACAGTCTTCCAAATAACAGTTTCAAAGGGATAACTTTTTTACTGAGTTTTATATAAGCTGAGTTTTTCAGCACGTTTTTAATGCAGTCTTTATGGTAAAATTAGGTGCCTCGGCTGATATGCGGGTCGGCTTATACCTGAGCATATACAGTAAATGGGAGTTGTAATTATCAATTTTTAAAAAACCCTTTGGGTTTGGCTCAAGTTAAGCACTGTCAAACAGTTTTTGAAAAAAGTCTTAGTTTTTAATTAGGCAAGGTTTACATTTCAGATGATCTTCTTTTAAAATTCAACTTAACAACTTATGAAACCTCCCAAGAGCTTGCCCTCTTCTCTCTGCCACCCCCTCCCCACCTTTTCTTTCTCTTCTCCTCCTTGTAGGCGATGCCCCTTCACACAAGGTAACACCAGTCTACCCGCTAGCTTCCCTCCCATACCTGGCGGCATGTTAAAGTCTGTGTCTTTGGGGATGAAAACTTTGATCTTTTAATTTTTTTATGAAAAGATCATTTTACTGGGGGCTCTTGCAACTCATAACAATCCATACATCCATTGTATCAACCATATCTGTATATATTTTTAATAACTGTGGTCTCATATTAGTCCTTTGCAACTAACTTCACTCAGCGAAATTACCTCCAAACCCGTCTGTCCAGAGGTGCTTCCAGTTCATCGGTTTTTCACCAGTGCTTAGTATTCCACTGTGTGTGTGCCCAGGTGTGTTTAGGCGTTCTCCCATCTTCTTGTATTGTGAATAGTGCTACTGCGAACATGGTGTGGCTGTATCTGTTATTCGTCTCCTCAAGGTAGGATACACCTCATAGAGGCATTGCTGGGCCATATGGTATCTCTACCATTCAGTTGTGTGAGGAAGCACCACACCACCTTCTATGGTGGTCATAGTTTTACTGTCCCACCAGCAGTGGATGAGCAGGCCAACCTCTCCCCGCCTGCCTCGCCAGCATAATTGTTTTTATGCTCTATATTTTTAAAAGGTATAGTAGTGGTATGATTATACTCTAATTTAAAAATGTTATTAAGTGCCATCAAGTCGGTTCGGATGACTTACAGTGACCCTGTGCCCAATGAAATGAAGCACTGCCTGGTGCTGCACCACCTCGTTGTGGGTCATGCTGTCTGAACCCACTGGGCCCACGGGACGCACAGTCAGTCTGTCTCCTCGAGGTCTTCTTCAGAATACAACGTGAAGAGATCTCAGACACCCATAGATATTTCATACAAATGGAACTGATGTGCCTTCTGATCGGCATCAGAACAGAAAAAATTTAAAATGCACAGTCACTAGATTCTAGTCCAAGATGTCCACCAGATTTTCAAAGTAACTTCCTCTAAAAGGAAATATGTTGTCACTTAGCAGAAAATTTCAGTACGAATTCCTATGAGGCCCAACAAAATGACTTGGAGCTATTAAGTTAACAATTTCCCCAATTGGCTCAATCAAGAACAATGTAGCTGAGAGTAATTACCAAAACCCAAATGCAGGCCAAACATGATAGTGGGATGGGAGGAAAGTAAATGGAAATAGAGGAAAGAACTGGGAGGCAAAGGACAGTTATAGAGGTCTAAATAGAGGCAGGTATATATGTAAATATATTTATATTAAAATGACGGGAATAGATTTATTTATAAAGTATTACAGTAGCAGATGGACATTGGGCCTCCACGCAAGTGCTCCCTCAACGCAAGACCAATTTGGTCTACTAATACAGCAC